AAACTATTTCAAATACACATAGGATGCAAGATTATTAAAAGCAGTTCTACTAATACCATGTGAACCTATGTCTGATTCACCTGATATTTCTCTGCATTCAATCTATAATTTTTCCTCTTTCATTTTCATTATATGTATGTAAAATCTAAGCATTATATTACTTTTTTAGCCCAGAAACCATTCTCATTTTTTTTCCATTTTTCTTCGTGTTTCAAAAGCTGATTCAAATAATGCACTTCAGATTACATCTGTGTATATTATTATATATTTATTGACCAACCATAGAAACATTATAAATTATATAAACATAAGCGACACAATATAGAGGGAGGATAACAAAATGGAAACTTTTACTTGCATTTATAACTTATAAAAATGTACATTCATATTATTTATTCAATAAATATACTGTACATTCAAAGTAATTTACTACGCGATTGTTAAAAATGAGCTTTTATCTAAAATTTTTTGAATTTATTTTTAGTCTCTGCAAACTAATAAACCAACTCTCTCCACTAGAAATAATTGATATAAATTCAAATACGTTCGTTAGCTGCAATCGATTTAAAAAAGGTCATATGGGAACAATTTCACCTTTAAATATAGCTTTTGTTTTTATAATCTATTGAAGTGTGTTTGGTATCAATTAAAGGTTTTAAGTTCCGGGCCATTGTGAATATATCTTATATTTAGAATATACTGTTCATGTTTTAACGACCATATACATAAATAAACAAAAATATAATATGATTTTAACATATTATAGATTCGCTCTGATTTTTACAGCATTTTATGCATTATACAGCTGGTATAAAAGGTCGTAATGAACAAATTTTGTTTATTTGTAAATATGTATAAATTTTAACAAAATTACGTTTAGTATATACTATATTACTAGGCATACTTAAGTTTTTGTCAACATTATTCCTATAAAATATAAAATACAGAGTTTCTCACTTAAATGAATCAATATGATTTTGTTAATGATTTTCTTTATATTCATTTGAGAAAACTAGGTCTATCTAATTACAAGGAGTTAATATTGATTTGAAATTGTTTTGGCAAAATTTAAATTTTTTGGTCATACACATTTTCATGTTAAACTGTATTTTAAGTCAGATAAATGTTTTGTTCAAAGTGTAGCAATTCTCGAGGTATAGCTAGTAAAATGTAAAATTAAATTTATAAATTATTATAAGAAATTTTGAACATCACTTCAAATGTTTTTATTTTTCTTAAAGTTTATCTTGAACTTAGAATTTAGTGAGAATGCCTAAGCCGAATTGCTCCAAAGCGCGCGAAAAAAATACTTTTGGCGAAAAATAGCCTAAATGTTTAATATGGAAATATGTTTAATATTACTGCGTACATGTTGGATCTAAATATTAAACTATTTTTACCATTAATAATATCTAACTATTACTATACAATTAAAAATACATATATATATATATAATTAATTAAGTACTATTATAATAATTATAATAGTACTTAATTAATTTATATTTAAATATAATTAATTTATAATTAAATTATATTATCTTAATATAATATTATAATAAATTAAGTCTATATCTCCAGGTTAAAATTGAATAATAATAGTTTTCAAAATTAAGATGAAACTAATGAATATGTTTTATTCTGTGCCAATAATAACTCCAAGATTTAGTTCCTTTTTAACTTAAAAAGAATTTTTATAAAAGCAATATTACGTATATAAAAGCTTAAATAGGCTATAATTAAACAGTATAGAAATTTTGAGCGAAGATAAAAGCAAATTTTTTAATATATTCGATATGCGTTCATGTATGCATGTAAATGACGTATGTATATGATAATAATAAGCAAGTATTTACCAAAATATAAAATATGTGCACATATTACAGTGGGCATACATTTTTTTATGTTGATTGCAAACTATCTTTAGTTGAAAAGTATTTCACGTTTAATAGACTATTCTAAGCACTACGTGATAAATTTGAATGCAAGTTTTGCCAGAAAAATTTCTTTACTTAAAAATGACAAATGAAAATTAGGAAGAAGTTAATAACTTGAGATATTTTTCTTTACATCACAAGTACGAGATATGGCAGACTTACTGCTAACCAATTTACAAGTTCTCCAAAACTATGAAAGCCCAATAATTCCCAAAGAATTCAGTCAATACTTTGTGAAAACCTTAGAAAAAAAAATCAATACTTTGTCAAAACAGAAATAGATCAATTGAAGAAAATATTTGTAGCACTGGTAAAACAAAATCATGTTGCCTCAGTTCACTAATATATAATTTATGTAATCTGAAATATAGATATAAATTATTTAAACCTCTTTTGTGGTTTATTTATAATTTCCTTAAAGAAATTGAGAAGTGAATGGCTAAACGTTACGATTTTTTATATTATGTTTCTCTTCATCCTCAGGGCCCTTGACGTTGCAAAAGTCCGCCTGCCATACCAAAGCAAGTTCCCCCTTCTTTTCTTCATTCCTCATCTATTCGACATTATTGTGGCACGGAACCTAGCATATGCGGGCTATGAAGGGTAGACTACATAGCCCGCATAATGCCCTTACGGGCGTCCTACATCGCTTCACCAAGCCACATTTGACAGTGCAGGAACATCCTCCTCGATTTCATCCTCCTCTAAAAAAAACTAACTCCGTTTTTGATGGGTTCACCGATACGCTACAACCTGTTGCTAACCTCCCCAATTGCCTCAAGTCACGCTTCATAATCCGCTTAAGTAATGATCTTGCAACCACTATCATCCACCGTTAGTGGATAAGAGTTCATCCAAAATAAGTACCCAGAGACACAATGACAAAATACACCCTGGGCAGTTTACACAGATCTTGCCTTTCTGTGCAGATGTTAATTTCCTGCAAAAAAGCCCCTTACCATAGCATGTCTTACGCGAGCCTCCAGGAACTTTTCCATAGTTTTGAATACGAACGAGAACGGACTTTTTGGTCCTTAATTTAAAATACTTACTCTTTTCAGGTTTTGATATAAAGACCACTCCATTCTTTAGGCCCGATCCCCACTCGCCCGTCTGATGAAACTTGGCTCGACCGCTTCCTTAACCAATACCCTTCTTAATCTTGCCCAAACATTTACATCCCCGCGATTTGCAATAAGTGTCCACTATTATTTTACCTTTGCCTTCCATAGAGAATATTTAAAAGGCCTTAGTCCATGCCTGCAGATGTTCCATTGGACAAACTGCTGCTCCGTTTTGCGGCATTGTACAGCCGTCTCACTTTCTTCTACATTTAGCAAGTGCACTAGACTACCATAGAAATCTCTCACCTTTTGCCGGGCATGGCGTTTTACGGTGAAACAATAAAGAAATATGAAGATTACAAAAGAATTCTTATTAGAAATTCGTCGCTTTAAATTTTTCTTTTCATTAAATTATTTATTAATAATCACATAAAAGATGTGCCGCGCCACAAATATAAAAAACCTGAAAAATTGAATATTTTTCTAATTTCAACAAATGTGTTTGCGAAATTTTCAACGTGATAATATACCCTAGTTATTCTGACGCTTGGAAACAAAATTCTTCCATTGTTGGAAATTTTTTATATTTCCAGAACTATAAGTAATAATAAAATTTATAAAAGTTTAAAAAAGGGGAACCTTGAGTAAGAAAAGAAAAAAGTGTTTTCTGAAAAATAAAACAATATGAACAAAAAATCCTTTTCCAAGACAGAAATTCGATTTAATATAAAATATGAACACTTTCATAAACAAATGTTATATACAAAGTCTGAGTACGACTATAATATTCTATCTACTTATAAATACGTACTATGTATAAATTTAGATCCTTAAAGAATTTTATTATAAAAACTTATGGTAAATCCAAATTCAAATAAAATTGAATGTACTCGCTCGTATACATGCACATCCTTATATTGTATCTGTATAAAATATCGTATACATTTATATATGTAACACATACACACATTTATAGTAAAACGCTTAGCTAATTTATTTGATTGGGGATAAGTAACGGTTGGAAGCTGTTGCAGCAAGTGGGGAATTAGGATGTTGAACTCATTCAAAAATGGCCGCAAAATTTTAATGAGTAGAAAAATTAAAGTGGGCGGAGGAGCACAATATCTATCAAGATGGCTGCAAAATATTTGAATATTTCTTTAAAATTTTATTCTTCTAATGAAGAAAACTTATTGAAGGAGAAAAGAAGGAAGATTGTTTGGATGTGGATAGAGTGTGAGTAAGTTTGACTAAATTATTGGAAAATATAAAAATGTAGTACAAAAGTTATAATTTCGATAAAGTTCCGAAGCTTATAAACTCAATAAACATTCTCCAATAAAGCCCAATCTTTGTAACAAAAATAGTTTTGAAAAAGGTATAGATATTGGGTCTGTTTATCCAAGCTCTTCAAGCAGTTTCCTACTGAACACGTTTTTTTTCAATCGCTTAACTGAAGCGATTTAAAAATTCTGAAGCAAAAAAAAAGTAAGCTTCATTATGCAGCGGTTTAACTTTGATATTTGGATATGTCATATACGAGTATGTTATGTAAGACTCTAAAAATATAGTTAACATTTTACAAAAAGTTTATTTAAATTATATTATTATAAAACATAAGTACTTTTTTACCATCATTATTCTCCATTCTGTTTGCCTTTTTAAAAATTTAAAAATAAAGAAATATAAAACTGACATCCAAATGTCATATTTTTTTAAAGCAAAAATAAAGTGCTGCAAACCGTTCAATGGAGCTCTGCAGCGATAATCAACTAAGCGCTGTAATTTATCAAAGCACTTAAGTTGGCTAAACGTACCCATTATTATCTGTATATACAATGTACGTATGAGGATGGATACCGCTGGAACAACCAAAAAAAAAATTTATATCGTATGTTCAAATATAAAAATATAAATCATAGAATAATTTGTTTATATAAAGTAAACAAAATATTACAAAATAGAAATTACGAAAATTTATGTTAATATGTTATTTTAGGCAGAGCAGAACCGTCGGGGGGAATAGGAGATTCATGCGCAGGCTGCAGTAAACCAATTTTGGATAAATTTTTATTAAATGTTCTTGAAAGAGGTTGGCATGCGAGTTGCGTGCGTTGTTGTGAATGTCTTCAACTATTAACAGATAAGTGTTTTAGCAGAGAAGCTAAATTGTACTGTAAAAATGATTTTTTTAGGTAAGTAAAAGTAATTTTCTTACAAACTGTAGTTGAACTAATAAAAATTAGAATTTCTTTTTTTGAAATTAATTGTTTATGTACATTCACTATTTGGAATACCTACATACATATGTATTTGTTCATATTTAAAAGCAAAAATTCAAATTCTAATTCAAATTGTTATTCAAAAAAATGCAACTAGTCGGACGTTCATATGAACAAAAATTTAGACCCATCTTTTTATATGCATATTTACATTTACCCCCGTATATGCAACACTGGTAAATTAAAAATTTTATCAAAAGCTGCAATTTTTAAACCCACAAAATGAAAGTCTTATCAAAATTTGCACATTTACATATATGAAAATATTATTATATAAAAAAAATTTTTTTATTTCATTTTTCTTCTATCTTTAAAAAAACCTTTATGTCAAAGTGTCATATTGTTAACTGACGAATTGTTACAGGTCAAATTATATTAAACCTTATGTTATTTAAGTTTTATGGTATAAAAGTTATGTCTAACACAATATAACACAATTTATATTTCTTGGCTCATGTATATTTACCGACCGTATTGTGTAAACAATAGGTAGGTTATGTGATGGCAACAAATTTTGCATATCGAGTTTTCGGTGGGAATGCACTTCTCCATAGTAGGGAAGTGTAATTAAACTATTTTTAGCAACCTGTCGGTCCGTCGGTCTGTCGGTCTGTCGGTCTGTCGGTCTGTGTGTGCACGCGTGTATCTCAAGTTCGGCTGAACCGATTTTGATGAAATTTTATATGTAAGTTTATTTCCACCATGGCACGAATTGATCAACTTTTGAGATATATCAGGCCTCGGGAACTGCAATTTTTAGCGGGCCTGTTTTACATTTTTGAACATTTTGAAGAAAGTATTCAACCGATTTACTTGAAATTTCATATATAAGCTTTGCTCGATCGTCCGCGAAAATTCCTATGTCTTGGAAGAAATCAGGCATCGGCAACTAGGCGTTTACTACGGGCCAAATATACATTTTTGTGTATAGAAAGAGAAATAATCAACCGATTTCATTGAAATTTAATATATGAATTCCTCGTATCAAAACAATGAAAATGTAAATTTTTTGGAAAGATCAGGCATCGGCAACTAGACGTTTACTACGGGCCAAATATACATTTTCATGAATATAAAGAAAAATTACCAACCGAGTTCATTCAAATTTAATATATGAATCCTCGTATTAAAACAATGAGCATATAAATTTTTTGAAAACATCAGGGCTCGAAAACTGATTTGCGGGCCGATTTTACATTTTTCACCATATCTACAGAACGAATTGATGAAATTTCATGAAATTTGATATTTGAGTTCTGGGCATTACCAAAACTAACTGGTGGGCATTTCAGGGAATTCGGATAGCACAAAGCAAAACTCTACTAATGCCCTAAAAATTGGAAAGAAGTATTTAACAGACATTTTTATAATATTCTGTAACACTTTCATTTAACTTGACAATGCGGTCGGGTATGTGCTGACCACATCAGATTTTTTTTAATATGTACAAGAAATAGAAAGGTATATATCGTTATATTTGTAAAATATGTACCTCTTGGAATATATTTGTATAATTATAAAAGCTGTGCATTTATACTTGTCGGGGATAAAAATTAATTGCATATATGAGAACTCTTTATAAATGAAAAGCTCGCTTAAAAGCAATGAATATTTGTAAAAAATTAATATATCTAGCTCTACTGGGTGAAGAAACCTTAACTTTTAAAATAAAACTTATATACTATGTTTCTTTATTTTCTATTCGCTCTAATATCTTATTCTGAATATGTTTTCACATTATATTATTTTGAAAATATAAAATGTAAAAATATATTTAGAATAAGATATACTTTCAAAAATTTACTGACAATATAAGACTCTTACCAAGATGAAGTTAACCACTTTGAAACACATTTAAATAAGCTACCATGTTAAGATTTTTAATTCTTCCAATTTGTAATTTAGTCTATGCCGGTCGATTGCAGCACTTTTTATTTACAGTATGCAAACTTATTCCAATTATAAATATACCTGTCCTATTATAAAACTATAAATTTTAAAAAAGATTTCAAAAATTTTACCAGTTTTTGCAAGAGATGTTTATACGGAACTTCGGTTTAAAAGGAAAAAACTAAAAAAGAACACAAGAAAAATGATGATTGAAGTTTATTAATTTCCGACATTATGCAAAAGTTATTATTTTTCAAAATAACTTTTTATAATGCTTAATTGTTTTTACTCAAACGTCTCATTATGTTTATATACTCTTTTGTACTAAACATCGCACTTGCGGTTACTTAGTGTAGTGAGGCAATTCTTCCATTTCGCCTTAAAAATTCAAATTTCCATTTGTAAATTTTCTTTTAGACATTTATTTTTAATTGAATTTGAAACCAGATGACTTCAAAAGTATTATCTGAATAATTTACTAAATTTGCTATTACTACTTAAACTTTTTGTTTTTCTACTGATTTTTTATAATATTGACAGAAAAATTAAAGAAATTTACCAAATCGAACAAAGAACAAAAAGTTCCAATTCAATGCAATTACCGGATAAATCTATTGTGTAATGCTAGAAAATTCGAAAAAGAGCTCAGTAATGTGGCACTCAACATAATAATACAGCTTTGATCCAGATTTGTCCAGATTTCTTTATCTACACTATTTTTGTAAGGTCTCAAAAAATTTTTAATAATTTGGAGTTGTATTTTACTTTTGGTTATAATAATGTTATTATTTTGCTAAAAATAAGGAGCGTGGCACCCGCCCTAACAATATATTTTGTTGACATAACAAAATCAATATATATAAGGTGATCTCCAATTGTAAGGCCTTTACATATACCATAGTGTAAATCTTCATTAAATAAGGAAAAATTTTGTTCAACAATAAACCTCTGCCGTCAATTATATTTAAAAAGAGTTAGGGGTTGAGTTTAAGATTTAGAGAGTCTTAAAGACAATTTTTTTTTTCTTTCCTGGAAGTGGGCTTTGGCTGTTTTAGATATTACGGCGTTCGTTTATAGGCATAGTATTGTCTTTTATTTTTTTTCTCTTTCCATTGCTCACTAAAAATTAACTAAATTTGCCCTTGAATTGAAGTGCTTACCTGTTACAACAACAGAAAAGTCGGCCAGTAACATTAAAATTTGTGAACAGTAAATTAAGATAACAAAATAAAATCTTCATCACAGAATGAAAGGGTTTGAAGAAATTAATGCAGTGCAGTATAGTCGCTTGAATACTGATTTTAATACAGTAATTTACGTGCTAGTTTTGACGTAAGCCTTTGTAATCTGGAAAATAATAACATTTTTATTTCAAAAATGCGGACAAAAAATTTGTTTTTAGTGAACGTTATAAAAAAAATGAAGTAAAAACGTATAAAGAAGTTTAAAAAAACTTGAAGAATTGAAACAGAACAAGTTTTAGTTTTATAGGTAACTTCGTCGCCTTTTGTTTAGTCTTGTATTTAGACATTTTTTATATTGCATAAATCTTACATACGCATAAATACGTTATGTATTCATGAATATAAGTAAAAATAACCATAAGTATTTTGCTGCTGTGATTTGAATTTTGTCACTAATTCAGCTTTTTAAAATATACTATCTTAGATGTATATGAATATGTACATAATTATCTAATCAAAAAAATTATCACCTAACGCTGAAATACTAACATCTTTCGATAGAATTTTATTGAATGAAACATTTTGTTATTAAAAGGTAAAAATTTTATGATTAGACTTACATACGTACACTTATGTAGATTTGGGTTTTTTTTTTTTTATTAAAGAAAAATGCATATTCTTTAGCGTTGGATAAACATATTTTGCAATATAACACAAGACAAAAATGAAGTTTGTAAGAATTAACAAGTCTTTATTCATCAATTTTATGTAGCTTCAAAATTCAGAAATTTAAATAATATAGAAACGCTCTAATTTTCAAGTTTTTCGTGATGTTACTGTACTGCTTCTAGTTTTTAAATGAAACTGTCTTTCTAAATCTAAAAGGAAAAATAATTTCATAATTAAATGTAATTTTATCTCATATCATTTTCTAATGTTGCAAATTCCTTAAAGTCTTCAAAAAAGTATAATTAACGCAGAGTCCTTTTTTATCGTTTCGTTTCCGTTTAATAAATTATTGGTTCGTTATTGACAATTAATTCAATAACAGATAGCGATACTATATTCCTAGTTCAGTGAAGACAAACCTATTATACAATTAGCTTTTGTGAATATATATAGATAACAAATGTGTCAATAATTGTAAACTTGCATCTTGTTTGTTCTAAGTTTGCTTACAATCCAGAAAATTTGATTAAAAAACTTAATTTATGGTTTAAAACTTGAAAACAATGATTAGACGAAAATTTCTTCTAAAATTAAAATATTTAGCATTCAATATTATGAAAAATCCAAGTACAAAGAACAATAAAAGTACACTCCATAATAGCTATCAGGACTTAAAGTTTGTTCAGTTATGAATATAAGATCTAAACATTTGCAATTTATCGTAAATTATAAATATATTTACATAATTTAAAAAATTTCAGGAGATATGGAACAAAGTGCAGTGGATGTGGACAAGGAATTGCCCCTTCAGACCTAGTTCGTAAGCCTAGAGATAAAGTATTCCACTTAAATTGTTTTACATGTTGTATATGTAGAAAACAATTAAGTACGGGAGAACAGCTTTATGTTTTAGACGACAACAAATTTATATGTAAGGATGATTATATGTTGAGTAAGGGTCATCTTTCTCTTAGTGGTAAGTTTTGTTGTTTTTATAATTACGTTTTATGTTGCATAATATAGTGTTTATAATATAAATACAAAACTTCAAAAAAATCATTTATTTTATTTATGTTTGGCTAAAAAATTAAAGTAAACTTTTAACCGCACAACTCAATGAAAATTATATCAAGTTAAAGATTATTTTAAAAAGTCGCTAAATCTGGTCATATGGATAAGGGTCGTAAGTGATTCACCGTGTACTGAACTTTTTGAGGCTCTTTAGAAACTCGATGCTCTGAAATCCCAGGATATACGATAAAGTACGTAACTGTGATATAAACAATTGACGTACAACACATTTTTTTAGCTTCGATATCTTCGAAGCTTTTATGAATATTTATAAGAAAAAAGTTTTTAGTTTGATTTTCTTTAGAATTTCGAAACTAATATATGTATGTTTTAAACTTACAGAAAATTACAGCTTAACATCACATAAAAATTAAGTGATTTTTTTAAATTTAAATGTTAAAATAAAATTTTTGAAGTTACTGATGTGAGTTTTTTGTTTGCAGTAATTTTAGTGTGTAAATCAAATATTAATAAAGTAATTTAAATAGCGTTTTTTTTTTAATTTAGTAAATTTTGTTAAAGGCAGTATTTTTACTTGTTCAAGAGAAAAGGCTACTCCACAAAACATTTTTTTATGCAATTTTATTAAAATTAACTTAAGGTTAAAATATTATATAATATTTACTTAATATGCATGCTTATGTATTATTATTGTAGACAGAAACTAATTCATACAAATAATTTATATCTGTAATAAAATTTTTAAATTTTTATGGTTAATACGACTATTACTTTCTGATTCATCTTTCCAGACAACTCAGTGAGTTGGTTTTCGTTGAGATACAAAATTCTTGATATTGATATTGGGTTATTATATATTACAATCATTAAGAACTCTTAAACTTGAAATATTAATAAAACAAAAAATAAAAAATTCCTTACTAATTTTGTTCGAACATTTTAAAATTCAGTTTTTTGTAAGTTCAATTGTGTATATTACAAGTTTTTGTATTTTGAAATAGTTCATAAGTAAGTCTATGCACAATAAAGCGATATTTAAAAAAAATAGAAGAAAAAAATCATTCATTTCATTAAAAAAAGTGAAACTACTAAAAACAGCAATGATGATAAATCGAAATCTAATTATTAATTTTTTTTCTAAAATACATAGATTTTTTTTTAAATATCATATCAATATCCTTAAACCGGTATTATTTTACATACTAAAAACCAACCTGATGAAAGACTAAAACTGATAAGTAGTTAATTAAGGAGCGGATCAAATGATGTTTTGTTATTTTCATTGTATATTCTGTAAATTTCTTCAAAATATCTTTTGATCTTCTTCACTTCAAATAAAAATTTTACAGTAAAATGTTCCAGCTATCAAACCGAGATGTAGAAAAAGAAAATAAAAAGTGCAACTCATACAAAATTAATCAAAAACCTTTATTTTAGTACTGTTGTAAGCTAGTATTGCTATTATAAACAACTTACTACAAAATTATATATGTTGTTATGTACGGTTATATACAAATTCTTCACTTATTTTATATTCTAAGCCTATAAACAGTCAGTAGTGGTCTTAAAATAAACCGCCCACTGATTCTTAAGGTAAAAAAAATTTAATATCCGTCTTTTAATACTTTGTGTACGAATAGATAGGTGCTTTTAATAAAATTTATAGTTCACCGGTGTAGTTATGGGATTCTTAGTATTAGATATAATACACTAATTTTTGAAAAAAAAAAAATATATTTAGCTTGAATGAGATAAATTTGAAGCAGAAGAACTGGTTGCGAAAATGGTAAAGTAAAAGGTGGGAAATTTCTATTTGAGAAAATATTAAGCAATCTTAATGTTACAGCGGCTTTATGATACAGTATAGTTATACTATTTAAAATACTATTACTTTAAACTTGAAATGGATGGTATTTTCTATTTAATTTTTTTACTAATCATAGCAATAGGACTTAACTTATCAAACTTAAATTCAATGTTTGCGCAACGTAATTTTGAAATATGAAATTGGATAGTAAATTTAATCCGTATTTCAAAATTTGACTCCAACTCTGATTGGTCCGTTTGATTCATAAGCATTTCGAAAATTCAATCAATTACTGGATCTTGTTTGTATCCTCACAAACGGAACAAATTGAAAAAATACTATTCAACAAAAGAAATATTCTGTTGTTGTTTAAATTTGGGAAGTTGAATGAATAAACTTAAATTATTTTGAGTTTATCATCTTATGTCAGTATAGCCCAAATTTTGAAAATTATTTCGTACTGGGGAAACTTTCGAACGCGAAAAGGCATTACCTACATATTTTTTCTCGAACAGCTTCATAGTTTTTTTTAATCATCATAATTTCAAGTTGGATTACGAGTACATCACTTAAACAAAATTCTTGGAATATGATGTTATTGGCAGGAATATGACGTCTCCTTAAACGTACAAAGTTTCAATTGTATGTGAAGTGACTATTTAGCGTTTTTTTTTTGTATTTATTACTTTTCTATTGTACAATTCAATGTGAGTTGCTAGTTGTATAGTTAGTTCTTATATTAACGGAACAACCATGTATACCATATGTACCATATTTGGTGTGTACGTTTTCATGCATTATGAATGGTTTAACAACTTTTTATGCACTTCGAAGCTTACTTATACTTGCATCAAATGCACAAAAAAGTAAAATCATCATCATATGTATTTCAGACACTCCTTTTGTTTTATTGCCACTTACAATGTGAAGAATATGTAATAAAGCGGAATTTCATTAACGTTCTATATATGGTACTTTTGCTTCAACTCCATGTCAGCTCTTTCATTCTGCCCCCTACAGTGTTTGTTTCTTAAATGCAAGAAAAACACTGTATGATGAAAATATTTCTACCCTTGAACTTATTGTCTAACAAAAATTAAAACACTTGTTATTATTTAAGAGTTTGTAGAATTAGCTGAAGGGTGATATTAGAGGTTGAACAATTATTGGTTTGGGTAGCAGAGTATAGACTGGTGATTTTTCTTTAAAACTTTATTTTCATTGTTATGTTAACAAACTTGTTTTTTTTTAAGAAAAGGAAACAAAAGAAAAGAAGAAGATAAAAAAATATAAATGTTTTCTTTTTGAAATTACCATTCCCCTTGTTTAATGTAGGAATAAACTTTTTTGTATGAAACTAATAAACCCTTATGTTATACATTAACTTTGGTACATTAATTTCAAATTAGTCTTGCATCATATGGTATATGATGCGAAAACATGACCGTTTAATAGTTTAACAGCAAAATTTGTTTTCAAAAAAACATAGAGCTGCATATATTTTTTTAATTTAAGTTACCAGTTAAAAAACGAATCAAATACGATTGATTGCTTGGTAAGCTGCGCAACTACATACTCATGCATATATTGAAGTTAATTTCAACCTCCTGCAACAAATCATCCATTATTAGCATATAGCTATAATACAATTCGCGGAACCATAAAGAATGTGCATAAGTCTTTTCTACGAAAGGATGTTATTCACTAACAAACAATGAACTTCTTTCTTAAAAACCAAATAATTTTTGGCACCATATACGTATGTATGTATATATGCTAATCAATATTTGCGAATGAATATAGATGAATGTTTGCGCGGTAATTTTTTTTAAAAAAGTAAAAACCATGTTGCAGTACTTGATGACGATATAAAGTAAATGGCATACTATAAGACTCTCAGTCTCTCAGTGAACTTTCAGAGAGTTTCATTCCATTAAATTCCATAATTTTTCTAGAGCAAAATACTTGTGTGATGTATATTATTTCTTATTAACTCAATAACTTAAAACAAAGAAATGTATTTTAGTCCTTTTTTCAACAACATTTTTTTTATTAACTTTTTTACTCTTTGATCAATTATATTTATAAGTTAATATAAGTTATTTATATTTTATTTTGCTAAAACATAAAAACTTTGTTTAACTTCTCGCTCCGACATTCTCTTCAAAGGTTTCGAAATACAATTTTGCCTCTAGTTTGTCAACATTACAAACTTCATAGAACTTCTATTAAAATAAAAATGTTTTCGTTCTCATAACTTAAAGTAGTAAAATTCCACTTTTACGCCAATTCAATCTTTCAGATAATTAAAACTCTTATTTAACTTTGTATAAGAATGAAAAAATTACTTAAACATATTCTTTTTGTTATTTGGACCTGCAGCGATATAAATACAAACTTCTGAGTAGTATAGATAAACAACTGACTGATAAGCAAACAAGTGAACATTCCATGATTTCCTGGAGTTGTGATTTAATTATCGAAATCACAGGGAAAAGATGACCAGGAGCATAGAATATTTTTGACAATTCGGAAGGAATTTCACATTTTGGGGAAATGTTTGGTTGTTTCATTTTACCAACCGCATTGTATACAATAGGTGATGTGATGGCAACAAATTTTGCCTGTTGAGTTTTCGATGGGAACGCACTTCTTTCTCCATGGTAGGGAATTTGGTTGGCACAAAGCGAAATCCTACTACTGTTAAGAACCAAATTTACATTTGTCTGGGTATGTTAACTAAAAGCTTACTAACGCCCTAAAAATTGCAAAAAAGTGTTTAAAAGACTTTTTTATAATCTTCTAGAACACTTTCACTTAAGTAGACAATATACATTGCGGTCGGTTATGTGCTGGCCACATAAGATTTTTATGTGATGATATCATCTATAAATGTAAAATATTTTAAAATTATTTTTGCAGTTAAAGGATGTACTTTTATATTGTTTAATGCGACTTGTTGTATTATTTTTACTGCTAAGTGTGTTGCTTTAAATATATATGGATTTAAGTACATTTAGTACACATTCATATATGTAGAAGAGTGCAATAATTATAGTAAAAATTTTTAATTATAGTACTATTTAAATTTTCTTAGTACTATAATTTAATAATTATAGTATTAAGAAAATTTACTC